CGTGCCTTCACGATGCAGGTGGCGCACAGAGCGATCGATGTCCCTCTCTGTACCGCTTGTGCTATTCTTCAAGAGTGACATCTCGCTTCACATCGTGAAGAACAACAAGGACGACGCGCTCGAACCGGGGTTCCCGGACGTCAGTAATGCGGTCGAATAGGGGTTCCCGCACGTGAATGCAGTGGTTAACCCGGGGTTCCCATCTGCACCCATTGTGGTTAAGCACACGACTTCTACAAAGGCAATGTGACGACGAGCAAGAGCTCGCCGATGAGTGTGACGTGGATGGACAGGAGTCCGCGCTTGTGAGCATGATGGTCAAACCGGGGTTCCCATCATCACTCACTGTGGTTGAGCAGGGGATCCCACACGAGTACAACGTGGACGGACAGGATTCTCCACACGATAACATGATGGTTGAGTCGGGTTTACCTAATCACCCATTGAGGTAGAGCTGAGTTTTCCACATGGGCAAATTGCGGTTGAGCAGGGTCTTCCATACGGGTTTACGGCGGCCAAGCAGGAGCTCCCGCATCAAGTGCTGACGGTCGAGTATGGGATAACCCCGCGAAGTGTTTCCGGCATTATCGATGAGGACATCCAGTTCCTAGAGGGGGTGATGATTTATTCTCTGACTGCGTTTCGTCGGCTTCGAGTAGTGGCTCGAAGTACGATGGAGACACAATCATCGAGAATTCAGCGTTGGAATGTGTCCAAGATATCGTGTACGCGGAAAGGAGTCTACAAAGACACCAATACATTAAAATCGCGAGTCCACCTCGTGACGCGTCTTTGATTACAAGCCTTAAGAGCTCCCCTGGAATCATTTCCTACGTGACCTTAAGGGAGGCACTTTGTAACAAGTGTGTCTGATCACCAACGAGGTGGTTACCGTGACACACGAGGAGCATTGGACGTGTCCTCGTAGCGCTAAGCCAAAGTCAGCACGTGAGGAAAGATTTTCGTGACAATCGTGGGAGGCTCGGCGAGAGTCTGGTAACCCTGTCTACGACATTGCTCGCGAGTATGCAGACGTGTTCCCGGAAAAGATCCCGGCTGAACTTCCTGCGGACCGTGGTGTTCGGCACGAGATTGATCTCGTGCCAGGGTCGAAGTATTGTTTGACACCTCAGTGGCCGTTGCCTCGAGATCAAGTCGAAGCTATTGACTCATTCTTCGAAGGCCGCCGCAAGGCGGGTCATGTGCGTGAGAGTATCTCACTACATTCGAGTTCAAACTTCTGCGTGAAGAAGACTACGGGAGGCTTGCGGATAGTGCATGCGTTTGATAAGTTATATGATGCCACTATTCCTGCGCAAACGCCTAATCCCAGGAAGGACATGGTGCTAAATTCCATGTCAGGAAGCGTCATCTTCAGTGCCATCGATCTAACCGATAAATTTTTAACAGGTTTTGATGCGACCGAGCGATATCCCACTTACAGCGATGAGCAACCAGGGTGGTATATTATGGGAGTGGCTGAAGATACCACAAGGGTTAAAGAACTCTCCGGCCACTTTCAATCGCATGGTGTATCAAGTGTTGAGACCACTTAGGAACTTTGCTCCGAGTTACCTTGACATCTTTGTCCACAGTCGCGCTGAGGGAAACCTCATTGATGTCCAAGTTCACCTTTAGCACTTGAAACAGGTGTTTCAAGTCACACGGGACAACAAGTTATATGGGAATCTTAAGAAGTGTGTCTTTTGTGCAACAAAGATTCCGGTTTTAGGTTGCTATGTGAGTTATTTGGGAGTTCGAGCTAATCCAGAGAAGGTGTCGTCAATCTGTTCTTGGCCCACATTTAAGAGCCCTACGGATTCGCTCCAGTGGCTCGGTTTGACTAATTACTTGAACAAGTATACAAAGAACGATGCTGATTCTATACAACCTTTTTCGTCACTCTTGAAGAGAGACGCCACGTGGTCGTGACGTCCCGATTATCAAGCAGATTTCAATGCAGGAAGAATATCTTGGCGTCAGCGCTATGCTGGTCCTACCAGACGACTCTATGCCGTTCCACGTGGTATGCGATGCCAGTGACTTTGCAATCGGTTGTGCCCTCATGCATTTAGATGATGAGGAACGTGAACGAGGCGTGGGCTATCAGTCGCGACCGATGAAGCCAGCTGAGAAGAACTATTCATTTCACGACAATGAGTTGTTAGCGATGCGCTACGCACTCATCAAGTCTCGCGTGCATCGGCTTGGTGAACTTCCATTTGCTTTGTATACCGACCATGCATCTTTGCGCACAGCGATGAAGAGCCCATACTTGTCTCAACGGATGGCACGGTGGCTTTCCTTCTTCTCTGAGTACAACTTCGTCGTGCATTACAAGCCAGACAAGACTAATATTCTCGCTGACGCCTTGTCACGACATCCCGACTACGATACTCGGACTGCGCTGAGTCATCAGGCGACTGATGACGAGGATGATGATGATCGATATGCGATGTGTATATCGCTGACACTAAGTCGGGTCACACCCGAGCTTTTCACGAGATCGCTGTAGCGTAAAAGAACGGTTCAGATTATGCGAACATTATCGATTATCTGCGTGCTCACAGCGAAGTTTCGCTGGGAGATTTATCACGAACCAAGCGTGATCCGCATCCATCGATATAGTTTAAACGGAAATTTGCTACTGTACAGCATCGATTAATTCGATGCTCCTCCCACGGTGATCGCCAACGACATGGATTTGAGTGCAACAATCATGCACGGGTATCACGATGCCCCTGCTGGCGGTGATTTAGGCCGCAAAAAGACTTTCGCGGCTGTGTCTCGGGACTTCTTCTCGCCCCATATGTATTAGTGGGTACGCAACTGGATTCGAACATGCAAAATCTACCAGCGTGTGAAGCCATGTCCATCATCGCAGGCTCCACTGCGACCGTTGTCGATTGCAGCCGAGGCCGGCAATCAGTTTCGATGAACTTCATTTTCGGTCTTTCGCCCGATAGTCAAGGTCGTACGGGTATTCTGCTTTTTGTTGACAGATTCAGCAAGATGGCGCATCTAGTGCCAATTCACGCTACTATCACCGCGGCAGAGACCGCGGTGCACTTCATTGACGCGGTGTTTCGTAATCATGGTCTGCCAAAAAACATTGTTTTGGACCGTGTCCGCAATTCACATCCGCAGTTTGGGGTCACTGTTCAATCTTCTCGGGACAAATCTGCAGATATCGACAGCGGGCCATCCGGAAACGAATAAACAAACCGAGCGCGTCAACAGAGTTCTCGAAGATGTTCCTCGCAATTATGCTACGTCATTCACGAGTTGGAATGCATTTTTACCACTTGCTGAGTTCGCACTCAATAATGCTGTACACGCGTCAACAGGTTTGACGCCATTTTTTGTGAATTTGGCTTATCACCCTCAAATTCCTACTCTTCTTGCCGTGGGTCTCCCCACGGCACCTCGTGTGGCTCCACTCTGGAGGGGAATGACGGTGATAAACAAGGATCAAGTGCAGCTCACGGTTTTTTGAGCGCGAATATAGTATCCCGATCCAAGGCGAAGTCTGCTGATTTGGCGCCACGTGATGTGGCGTCCCCATTAGCTCGATGGACTGAGCAGACACTTGTTGACCCGTCTTTGGGTAAGCGTTCACCTACTGCCAACTACGCGGCGGCTTGAGTCGGCGCGAATAATTGATGACATGGCTATGTCAGAGTTTATAGTCCAACATTAAGCCATCACCCGTTTATACGCGATGCACTACAGTCTGCAGTCGACCAGCAGAAAGAGATCGCTGACAAACATGGCAGAAAGAACATAAGCAAGTTTGAGAAAGGCGATCGTGTATTATTGTCTACAGAGGGTCTAAGGGATTCAGCGGTTACTAACCTAGGCGCAAGTCAACGCGCCACGCTTCATCGATCCATTCAAGGTTCTGAAGGCAACTGGCGATGCTCACATGTAACCTATGATCGCTTTTGGCAACGACGCATGACGTATTGGACGAGTTTTTCATCACCAGTGCGTACAGTACAGTATGAGGTTTGAAGAAAAGACGAAGCAATTGTTTAAAAGCATTCACCTGTAAAAATATATTAAATGTATATAATTTCGTGACGGCGTGGTCCAATCTTGCACGAATCGACAGTGCGAGGCAGATGTGTAATACCTTAAAGCTGCATACTGCGGCGCATACCGGCCACGAACTGACCGGCAATTATGTCATGGACAACGATGTATACAAACGTGTATGGTTGGCACGACGAAGCAGCGATGTCGTTAACTGCTGCACGGTGGAAGTCGACGTATTGATCAACGCCGATATCGAAAGCTGCTACGCTGAGGCCTTTTCATATCGTGACAAGAAACTAGAGGTGTTGAAGAATCGTCCAAGAGCGGCTTCCCTACCGCTGTCACCTGCCTTATCCGCAAATACAACGGCTGTACGACCCCCCACATCGCCAATGTTAGCAACTCCCGTGCAATTGACTGCTACGATGATCAGACGTCGCGGTTGTCAGTGGACGCAAAGGCCACGAATGAGGACGAGATGACGCGAATTCGCGCGCTGATGGGGCGCTCGGCCAGGCGGACGAATAGAAGTTTATTGCCAGTGCGCACATCGAGTCTGTGAAACTCGCGTCAGCGATGCTTTTCTCGTACTAGTAAGCGACGGTTCACCGACGTCTTCGACGACAAGAAGCTGACTGCGTTCGTTGCCAATTGACCTCGCGGAGGGTGGCAAATCCATCACGATCGGTAAAAGGTTTTAGACGAGGCGAAAGCGCTAAGATCCAGCCGTGATTTTCTGTTTCGGGGAGTAGACTGTAGGCGGCCCCTGCAAACGGTAGAGCTAGTATCATAGATACTTGACCGTCAATTATTTGCCGGTAGAAACTAGGACGGCGACGGACATATCCGGGGAACCTGCTGTGCTTATGACACGAAGTCAAGCGTTCAAGAGCGAAAATTTGGCCGAGTGTCGGAGAAGAGCAGTCTCACAAGTCCAAACTGCGATGTTCAATCAGGTCCGGTCATGTGCGACGAAACGTGAGCACGAGAGGTTTGGGAGCAAATTGCATGACCTGACACATCTTTGTAAAGCCCAAGCGGAATACGTCAAAATGGTTGATTGTCAGCAATTGATCTCCCACGCTCACTCTGCTATACTTTCTACCGCGACCCACCACGCCGGACTTGTTCATGGCCGTTACCACAGGATAAGACTTTCCATTTTCAGGCTTCAAGCTGATCCCAAGCGGGCCGTCTTCTTCTCGCCATATTACGTAGGTCAGAGATCGCTCCAGTCGCTGTCGAGCCTCCTCCATTTCTATACGCGTCGACGTAGACAACCGTCGCGGTTTCGCCGTGAGACTCTGCAGCTCATGTGACGCCGGTCGTCGAAACCGAAGCACGGCCGGCCTCACGCCGCTATCTAAGATCTGTATGACTGCATCGAATGGTACAACACTGCATTTGGTGCTGCGTTCGTTTATAGATATGATATAATCACCTCTACGGAGGTTCCATATCCCAGGCAGCGAGACGTTGCACTCGGCTACTTCCACACAAGGGTAGCCCGTATTTATACACGATGCAAAACTCACCGAGCCAAGAGAAGAGCCGTACCAAAGCAAAACTTCATACTGCCAATGATCTTCGTCCAACTCCTCCGGTACCGGTAGCATGCCCATAGATGACGCTGTAGACGCTGTGCACGCAATTGAATCGTTGCTAGATTGTTGTAGATTAAGGCGATATCGCAGGAAAAACTGAATCTTGCAGGCAGCGTCCTCCTTTACGAGAGTTTCAGCAAGCCACTTGTTGAAAGACGGCGGTGCTCGTGTCACGAAGTTAATGCAGTTGTCCTCGTCCTGCGGTTGCTGCTTATAGATAGTACGTATATCCAAGTCCACGGACTGATGTTTATTCGGAAAAGTTTCCTCCACGTCGCGCATTAGGAGCATGTCGACACCCATTGGGGCTCCGAATATTTGTAGCCCGAGAAAAAGAGATGGTGACTTGAGTTATGAAATCCTGCAGCTCACATATTCCTCAGGTGAGACAAAGCGGAAGCTGCACAATCGAGCAGTGAAATTCCAGAAAAAGGTGTCAGTAGAGCTTGAGCTTGTTGTGGGTAAGTAGACAATTTTGGCATGAAGGGGTTCTTATGAGACATTACGATCTACAGTCGTCAAATTTCTCAAAAACATTCATGGCGGAAACTGCCGCGAGGAAACGTTAAATTCTTTACTAGCGATTTACGACGGTAATTTTCTCATGTACGTGGAAAACGGTGACTTTTGTTCCTCGCTGTCGCAATGCGTCAGGTGTGAATAGTCGATTCAACGCAGCGCCAACTCAATGATATTTTTTTCTGTTACCAACGGATCCTAACGTGCGGCATGGTGCAGAGAGACGCTAGTGCATATATGCGCAAATTGCCTGCCGTTGGAGTAGTTTGCATGCAGACTTAGCCTCCTGCCCAATCTCGAAGACTTTTGCTTCTTGAGCATGCACGATTGTCAAAAGCTAAAAGGTCTTGAAGAAGCGTCCATAGGTGTGCGATTCTTGATGGTAGACAATTGGCATCCAATTCACGGCGCTTGTAATCGGCTTTCTCGTATGCTTGACCGAGATTTTTGTATTTGGCTACTATTTTTTAAAGATGAAATTTCCCTTACATTTTACCGAATCATATATGAAATTTGCTCTTAACTCTCAAGCCAAAACCTTCCCATAATAGTTATTTTGCAAGAACTCGAGCACAAAAGATGGACGTGCTAGGCAAGATCGTACAGGGCACAGGATGCTCCGTGGACGGCACCGTAGCAATGCAGAACCCGCTGTCGCGTGCGCTGGACAGTGTAGTGCAAACGCAGATGCGTGGTCGTTCGGCACGTGGGCCCATGCCGCCGTATCGTGCTCGCAGCGGCCTCGAGGTGCAGATGCAGCGTCCCAACATGGCACAGAATGAGAGCCCACAGTTCTTGACGTCCTTTGAGAAGGAGGCCGTCAGCCTCTCACGTATGGAAGCAGCTTTTCAATCAGGCGCGACCCAACAGCAGATGATGCATGCACACCAGATTTCCATGAATGTGGCCTTTGAAGAGGCTCAGCACGCACAATTTCAGCACAGACAGGATCCATCATTGACGGGCACGCAAATAGTGGACCCGCTTGCCATGCAGCATTGTACGTGGGTCGACGAGTTCTACTCCAGGCCTTTGGATGACGCCTGGCAGACCGCCGGCCAGGAGATGGTATGGGATAAAATTAAGGCACCAGCGCCCATGATGTATAAAAATATGATGCATCCTGCACCGTCGATTATGCAGCAGGTGAACGCACCACTGGAACAAGCGACACAATCGTTTGCAAACAATTTGAAGACACAACAGGTCTGCAGCGAGATGGCGCGTACCATACGTCAGAACCCGGATGCCAAGTGGCAGAACAGCCAGTTTCTCAAGTTTATGAACCAAGTTGGATCGGGTGAGGTGCAAATCGATGAGGAGAAGAATGAGGTTGCAGGCGCAGAGCTTAAGATAGAAGGCGGGCTGGAAGGAGCGTGGGAAGAAGACACATTGGACGTGCGTTCGAACCGCGAAGTTTTTAATGCGAGCTGGCAGCAGAGTGGAAATGTGTCGGCCGCCGTCATGGAGAATGGGGTTGCAGAGGCAGCTACTGCTCGCTCGCATGCGCCGAAAATGGAAGGAGCGTGGAAGGAGGCGGGCACAGCTAACGCTATGCGGCTGAATACTGCATGGGATGAATCAAAGACTGCAGAGGAAAAGGCTTTGGACAGTGCGTGGGCAGATGGCGAGAACCTAGTACGTGATGCACCACATTTACAGACTTACGTTGTATAAAATCTGATGCAATTTGCTTGATTTTATTGCAGGAAGCAATCTGGGAAAAGGCTATCACGGAGGCTCGTACGACAGACCCGTTCGAAGACGTGTGGGATTATGCGACTAGCCAATGCTACACCTACAAGGCCAATAATCCGTTTTTGAACTCGTCGGAGAACTTTCAAAAAGGCATTGACTTTTTTAAGTCAGGACACCTGGATGACGCAATCCTTGCTTTCGAGGCCGAGGTGCAGCAACACTCGGATAATAGTGAGGCATGGCGAATGTTGGGTGAGTGCCATGCAGAAAATGACGAGGATAAGAGCGCTATTGCTTGTCTGGAGCGTGCTGTGGAGGAGGATCCGTATAACCTCAGTGCATTGTTGGCACTTGGTGTCAGCAACGTAAACGAGCTAAATTCGCAAGGTGCACTGAAAACGCTGAAGGCGTGGGTGCACCACAATTCAAAGTTTCACGGACTGGAGATTCAAGTGGATGAGTACAGTGATGGATCTTTGATGGACGAAGTAATGCAGCTAATGCTGCAGGCACGGGCGCACGACCCCAGTGATTCGGACGTGCAGGTCGTATTAGGCGTCCTTTACAATGTATCAAAGGACTACGATGCAGCAGTCGAGAGTTTTAAGGCAGCTACGGACTCGCGGCCGGATGAGTATGGGCTGTGGAACAAGATCGGAGCGACGCTAGCAAACTCAGCTCGCTCGTCGGAGGCTATCCCTGCGTATCATCGGTACGTTAAATGCTGTATGGTCATAGAGGAAGCTTTAATACCTCTAGGAGACCGCTAACGTGTCCGCGTATGTGACGTTCAGTGCATTGGAGCTAAAGCCTCGCTACGCCCGCGGGTGGCTGAACCTGGGAATCAGCCACGCCAATTTGGGAAACTATGAGGAGGCGACAAAGTGCTATTTGCAGGCACTGAGCTTGAACAATCGTGCAGACCACATTTGGAGCTATCTAAGAATTTGCTTCACATGCATGGAGCGATTTGATTTGGTGAAGCTGGCGGATACGAGAGACATTAGCTATTTTCGGGAAGAATTCAAGCTCATCGACTTCTAAGCTGTGTCATTGACTTCAGCCCGCGCGGATTGACTGAGGTGACAATGTATTGTACTAGAAGGAATGATTTTAAGAAGAACAGAGACAGTTTAAGCTGATCAAAGCGGAAGGCTTAAGCAGTATGATACTTAAGCGTATGATTGCTATTGTGTAGCGTGATGCCTTGGTTTGACAGGCCACTACAGTAGAGTATAAGAATGTTCCCAGCAGCACAGAATCAAATTATTATTCTACTTTCGAAATCGATAAACATAAACAAAGCAGCACATGTTAATTTGCGAAGACAACTGCTTGATTATTCTCTATCGATCGCTGACGTTATTTTTTCGAAAAATACTAACACCAGCGCATGAATCTTGGTCATGCACATACGGCAACGCAACCGCGCCCGATGTCATCGGCGCGTCGAGCACAACGAAAAAACTGTTCGACCTACGGAACCCTGAATTCGGCATCGGGACCAACCCGTGAAGCATAGCCGGACGATATTCATTTAGCCACCCGACGTTGAGCGTCGGATGAAGTCGCAACGACGAGTAAATTTTAGTAAATAAGCATCGCTAATTGCTTGCAGAGCCTTGAATGGACTGATGAAGCGTGGCGCGAGTTTTCTCGCGCCTAGGTTAGTAACAGAGTCACGTGGCGTCAAATTAGCAGACTTCGCCTTGGATCGGGATACTATATTCGCGCTCAAAAAACCGTGAGCTGCACTTGATCCTTGTTTATCACCGTCATTCCCCTCCAGAGTGGAGCCACACGAGGTGCCGTGGGGAGACCCACGGCAAGAAGAGTAGGAATTTGAGGGTGATAAGCCAAATTCACAAAAAATGGCGTCAAACCTGTTGACGCGTGTACAGCATTATTGAGTGCGAACTCAGCAAGTGGTAAAAATGCATTCCAACTCGTGAATGACGTAGCATAATTGCGAGGAACATCTTCGAGAACTCTGTTGACGCGCTCGGTTTGTTTATTCGTTTCCGGATGGCCCGCTGTCGATATCTGCAGATTTGTCCCGAGAAGATTGAACAGTGACCCCAAACTGCGGATGTGAATTGCGGACACGGTCCAAAACAATGTTTTTTGGCAGACCATGATTACGAAACACCGCGTCAATGAAGTGCACCGCGGTCTCTGCCGCGGTGATAGTAGCGTGAATTGGCACTAGATGCGCCATCTTGCTGAATCTGTCAACAAAAAGCAGAATACCCGTACGACCTTGACTATCGGGCGAAAGACCGAAAATGAAGTTCATCGAAACTGATTGCCGGCCTCGGCTGCAATCGACAACGGTCGCAGTGGAGCCTGCGATGATGGACATGGCTTCACACGCTGGTAGATTTTTCATGTTCGAATCCAGTTGCGTACCCACTAATACATATGGGGCCAGAAGAAGTCCCGAGACACAGCCGCGAAAGTCTTTTTGCGGCCTAAATCACCGCCAGCAGGGGCATCCCGATACCCGTGCATGATTGTTGCACTCAAATCCATGTCGTTGGCGATCACCGTGGGAGGAGCATCGAATTAATCGATGCTGTACAGAAGCAAATTTCCGTTTAAACTATATCGATGGATGCGGATCACGCTTGGTTCGTGATAAATCTCCCAGCGAAACTTCGCTGTGAGCACGCAGATAATCGATAATGTTCGCATAATCTGAACCGTTCTTTTACGCCGCGGCGATCTCGTGAACAGCTCGGGTGTGACCCGACTTAGTGTCAGCGATATACACATCGCATATCGATCATCATCATCCTCGTCATCAGTCGCCTGATGACTCAGCGCAGTCCGAGGATCGTAGTCGGGATGTCGTGACAAGGCGTCATCGAGAATATTAGTCTTGTCTGGCTTGTAATGCACGACGAAGTTGTACTCAGAGAAGAAGGAAAGCCACCGTGCCATCCGTTGAGACAAGTATGGGCTCTTCATCGCTGTGCGCAGAGATGCATGGTCGGTATACAAAGCAAATGGACGTTCACCAAGCCGACGCACGCGAAACTTGATGAGTGCGTAGCGCATCGCTAACAACTCATTGTCGTGAAATGAATAGTTCTTCTCAGCTGGCTTCATCGGTCGCGACTGATAGCCCACGCCTCGTTCACGTTCCTCATCATCTAAATGCATGAGGGCACAACCGATTGCAAAGTCACTGGCATCGCATACCACGTGGAACGGCATAGAGTCGTCTGGTAGGACCAGCATAGCGCTGACGCCAAGACATTCTTCCTGCATTGAAATCTGCTTGATGATCGGGACGTCATGACCACGTGGCGTCTCTCTTCAAGAGTGACGACAAAGGTTGTATAGAATCAGCATCGTTCTTTGTATACTTGTTCAAGTAATTAGTCAAACCGAGCCACTGGAGCGAATCCGTAGGGCTCTTAAATGTGGGCCAAGAACAGATTGACGACACCTTCTCTGGATTAGCTCGAACTCCCAAATAACTCACATAGCAACCTAAAACCGGAATCTTTGTTGCACAAAAGACACACTTCTTAAGATTCCCATATAACTTGTTGTCCCGCATAACTTGAAACACCTGTTTCAAGTGCTAAAGGTGAACTTGGACATCAATGAGGTTTCCCTCAGCGCGACTGTGGACAAAGATGTCAAGGTAACTCGGAGCAAAGTTCCTAAGTGGTCTCAACACTTGATACACCATGCGATTGAAAGTGGCCGGAGAGTTCTTTAACCCTTGTGGTATCTTCAGCCACTCCCATAATATACCACCCTGGGTGCTCATCGCTGTGAGTGGGTTATTGCTAGTTCGCATTAGAATCTGTTAAAATTTATCGGTTAGATCGATGGCACTGAAGATGACGCTTCCTGACATGGAATTTAGCACCATGTCCTTCCTGGGATTAGGCGTTTGCGCAGGAATAGTGGCATCATATAACTTATCAAACGCATGCACTATCCGCAAGCCTCCCGTAGTCTTCTTCACGCAGAAGTTTGAACTCGAATGTAGTGAGATACTCTCACGCACATGAGCCGCCTTGCGGCGGCCTTCGAAGAATGAGTCAATAGCTTCGACTTGATCTCGAGGCAACGGCCACTGAGGTGTCAAACAATACTTCGACCCTGTCACGAGATCAATCTCGTGCCGAACACCACGGTCCGCAGGAAGTTCAGCCGGGATCTTTTCCGGGAACACGTCTGCATACTCGCGAGCAATGTCGTAGACGGGGTTACCAGACTCTCGCCGAGCCTCCCACGATTGTCACGCAAATCTTTCCTCACGTGCTGACTTTGGCTCAGCGCTACGAGGACACGTCCAATGCTCCTCGTGTGTCACGGTAACCACCTCGTTGGTGATCAGACACACTTGTTACAAAGTGCCTCCCTTAAGGTCACGTAGGAAATGATTCCAGGAGAGCTCTTAAGGCTTGTAATCAAAGACGCGTCACGAGGTGGACTCGCGATTTTAATGTATTGGCGTCTTTGTAGACTCCTTTCCACGTACACGATATCTTGGACACATTCCAACGCTGAATTCTCGATGCTTGTGTCTCCATCGTACTTCGAGCCACTACTCGAAGCCGGCGAAACGCAGTCAGAGTAATAAATCATCACCCCCTCTAGGAACTGGATGTCCTCATCGATAATGCCGGAAACACTTCGCGGGGTTATCCCATACTCGACCGTCAGCACTTGATGCAGGAGCTCCTGCTTGGCCGCCGTAAACCCGTATGGAAGACCCTGATCCACCGCAATTTGCCCATGTGGAAACCTCGGTTCGACCGCAGTGGGATGATGGTAAACCCGGTTCGATCATCATGTTATCGTGTGGAGAATCCTGTCCGTCCACGTTGTACTCGTGTGGGATCCCCTGCTCAACCACAATTTGCCCTTGTAAGATCCCCTGCTCAACCACAGTGAGTGATGATGGGAGCCTCGGTTTGACCATCATGCTTACACGCGTGGACTCCTGTCCATCCACGTCATACTCATCGGCGAGCTCTTGCTCGTCGTCACATTGCCTTTGTAGAAGTCGTGTGCCTAACCACAATGGGTGCAGATGGGAACCCCGGGTTAACCACTGCATTCACGTGCGGGAACCCCTATTCGACCGCATTACTGACGTCTGGGAACCCCGGTTCGAGCGCGTCGTCCTTGTTGCTTTCCACGATGTGAAGCGAGATGTCACTCTTTAAGAATAGCACAAGCGGTACAGAGAGGGACATCGATCGCTCTGTGCGCCACCTGCATCGTGAAGGCACGATCCACGACTGTGACGTTGGGCCAGTCACTTGGAGACACCAAGAGATGAGTAAAGACTTCAGTGACGTCAAACTTGCGTCGACGTCTCAATGATCTAGCTAATTAGTCGATATGGGGCTTATAACGTGCCAACCGTAGAAGGCCCAGGATGCAATCGAATGCATAAAAATTCATCGCGATCCCCACGAAATAATCACTACTGCGAATACGTCAAACGTGTACGGCAATGACACTTCGCGCCGCGATACGCGGTGTGGTTTCCCGTCATACAACATGACGACGACTTGGCCAGGTCCCTCACGGACCTGAATGCTGGGAGGCAGCATCGATAAAAATGTGTCACAAAAGGAATTGTTCGTCGCTCCTGAGTCCAGGAGTGCTCGTAGAAGTCGCCGGACACCGGTTACATGTAAATTGACATTAATCAGACGTGAACCACCACTCGTAGTGGTGGCATTTAACCGTGCGCGCAGCGCAGGAGGACTCGAAGGTTGGTCTGCCACCGGGGGACCCGGACCTCCGTTCCAACCATTAGGGCGACCTGCACCTACTGGTCCCGACCGTTTTTTGGACGTACGGACGGTACAGCACCCCCATGATGGGCGTCCACTACATGCATCGATATCGGCGCTGGTGCGCGGCACTCAGCTGCGCGATGCACTGGCTTGCGACAACGAAAGCAAACCATTTGATGCCCGGTGCGAGCGTCAACCTTATGGGGAGTGACACGTCGTCGGCCACCCAATGACTCAATCACGTCAATCTCCATAGATTCCGGACCA